TAAATTTTATTTTTACTATTCTTTATCTTTATTTTTATTATTACGGCACTATTGTTGTTTCATCTTTATTTTTACTATTTTTATTTTTTATTTTATTTTTGCTATTCTTTATCTTTATTTTTATTATTACGGCACTATTGTTGTTTTATCTTTATTTTCATTTTTTTGATTAAGAAAAGATAATCTGCACTTAAAGGGGCTGGAAAATGTTTTRTGCCTTCATATTCAATAACGATTATGAACTAAGAAAAATTGATATGACTATAATATGACAGCAAGTAAAACCCAGAAAGCCAAAGACCATAAACCAAAGATCACAATGAGCATGGAAAAAAATGACGTCAGACGTTGCTATGACAACATCAGAACCCTTAGTATGCCATCAAAAATGTTCATTCAAAAAATCATCACTCAATCATAACTCAGAAACCAAATGGTGAATTTTTTTTTAAAAAACGGAATACTTAAACTTTGTATCAWAATCTTCTTTTTGAGAAGAAAAGGAAAAAACTGTTAGAGGAATTTTGCAAAAATCAATAAAATTTGTTTGGAATAGTTCCCTCTTACATAATTTTTTTAAATTTTTCCTTAAGTTTTTGAAAACATAAACTAAAGCCATATGCAAAATTTGAAGGGATTTTGACCGCAGAGATTTTAATTTTTTCTGTTATATTAAAGAATATTAAAATTTATAGTGCGCGCATGCTCAAGAAAAACCGTTTTGAGCCTCCTTAAGCTTTCAAAAATGTAAACAGTAGAAGTGTCATTCTTTGGGTATAGGCTGGGTGAAGGCATGAATGTGGTAGATAAATGCCTGCATTTAAAGGCTGCGTTTAAACGGTACAGGATGAATTTTTAACAGTCAAAAGTTATAAGTTTAACATACGCAGAATTTCGCTTTGAGTTCTGCTATGTGACTCCAGCGAATATTCTGAAAATAAACTCGTAATTAATGATAGCTATGCAAGCAAACAAAAGAAGTATTTAGATTGTCTAAAGTGTTTTTGATTTTGAAAATCTTGCTTTTACCTTGTCTTTGATTGCGTCCATTTTGGGGGAGAATTTCCACTCTTTGCCCCACTAGAACTTTTGACCAGCCCTTCTTTGGCAACTAGGGTTGCATGGATTATTAGCATTACTATCGGTCAATCTGATAAAATTAAGTTAAAGCAAAGTAAATTATATCCTATAATAGTTTGGAATACCTGTGCAGGTGTTGAATCCATCTCCTTCGAATCTAGACTTACACATTCATTTATATGAACCAATGGAGTTGCTACATTCAGCATTGTGATGACATGCGCTATGCAGTTTGCAGAATTGATGTCTTGCACCCCTACAACACATTCATCCATGTCTGTGGCAGAAGAAAGATAGGTTATAATATGATTAATTGATATTATTCAAGCGACGTACACTAAAATAGGTTTATGTCCAAATAGTGATCAAATAGTATGATCACTTGTACTCCTAGTACTCGGTTGATGCAGAGTTTTGGGTATTCCCATTTAATTATTGACCTAGGATGATGTGGAATGATTAGCAATATAATCCGCATTTTTCTCACAACAAGGCAACGTAATATTAATAGTTCCTCCTCTCAGTTTAACTACAAATTTACATTTTGAGTTTACTTTAAGATCAAGGAATTATAGCTCTACACATTTATAGGTTAACACCCTCGCTTAACCCTCCCTTAACCAACAGGTTAAGCACATCAACCTCAGAATAACACAATTGTTCTATTCAACTCCCTTTGTATTTCTGAAGATTGGAAAACGTTTTGTCAAAACATTTCAAATAAAAGCCTCAGTTTACAAAGCGTTACATTACGTCCTCCATCAGTTTATTACACAAATGAACTTTTGTCATTCTACATTGTACATATTTTAGATTGCAGCTAAACCAAAACTTCAGCTTTGCACAATGTAAACTAGGCCTCCAAATCGTCCAGTTTAAGATCCACTTAAACTTACTAGGGTTTTGTCTGAGCCCTAGTAAACTAAAACCCTACCAGCAATAGGGTGAATATTAAGGTTAAGATTATAAGACTTACCTTTGCAGCTGGGCAAATGACAAAAAGAAGCATGTAAACTATTACACATGACGGATGATTTCGATTCGGGTTTAAATCTAGGTTTACAAATCAAGGTGATTGACGAGCCGATGTCATAATTCTTTTGTTCTGGTAACCAGTTTCTGGCGTTGATATAATTGGAGTTTTGGGTCGACTGCATAAAGTTTAAGAAAATA